ATGGAGACCCCTATGGGGCAATGGAGATACCCCTATGGGCAATAGAGACCCCCTATGGGGCACCCACTATGGGGCAATGGAGACCCCTATGGGGCAATAGAGACCCCCTATGGGGCACCCACTATGGGGCAATGGAGACCCAAATGGGGCAATAGAGATCCGCTATGGGGCAGCAGCATCCCTCTATAGGGCACCCCCTATGGGGCAATAGAGACCCCCTATGGGGCAGCAGAGTTCCTCTATGGGGCACCCACTATGGGGCAACGGAGATACCCCTATGGGCAATGGAGATACCTCTATGGGGCACCCACTATGGGGCAATGGAGATACCCCTATGGAGATACCCCTATGGGGCAATGGAGATACCATTATGGGGCAATAGAGATCCCCTATGGGGCAATAGAGATACCCCCTATGGGGCAGAAGCATCCCTCTATGGGGTAATAGTGATACCCCTATGGGGCACCTACTATGGGGCAATAGAGATACCCCTATGGGACAATGGAGATACCCCTATGGGGCACCCACTATGGGGCAATAGAGATACCCCTATGGGGCAATGGAGATACTCCTATGGGGCAATAGAGATACCCCCTATGGGGCAGCAGCATCCCTCTATGGGGCACCCACAATGGGAACCCCCCTATGGGACAACAGCACCCCCCCATAGGGCAACCCCAATAGGACCCCTTCAATGGGGCACCCCCAATGGGACCCTAGGACCCCCCCCAATGGGGCACCCCCAATGGGACCCCCAATGGGACCCCACACAATGGGACCCCCTCAATGGGGCACCCACAATGAGACCCCAGCACCCCAAAACCATGGGGACCCCCCAATGGGACCCCCCCCAATGGGGTCCCCCCCCACCTGTGTCATCGGCTGCCACCGTCCCCCAGGGACCTGCAAGAGGTTGATGCCATCAAAGGCCTCGCTATGGGGCAGGGACCCCCCCATGGGTCGCTATGGGGTAGGCAAACCCCTATGGGGCAAGGAGCACCCCTATGGGTCAGGCAAACCCCTATGGGGTATATCCCCATTAGGATCCCTATATCCCCATTAGGATCCCCATTAGGATCCCTATATCCCTCTATATTCCCCTATATCCCCATTATATCCCAATTTCCCCGCTATATCCCTCCCCATTATCCCTATATCCCCCTATATCCCCATATCCCCCCATTATCCCTGTATCCCCCCATTATTATCCCTATATCCCCCATTATCCCTCTCTATTGCCTGTATTCTCCTATACCCCTCATGTCCCCCCATATCCCTCTATCCCCCCATTATCCCTATATATCCCCTATATCCCTATATATTCCCCCTATATCCCCCCTCTATCTCCTATTATCCTCCATTATCCCTATTCCCCCATTATCCCTTATCCCTATACCCCCATTATTATCCCATTATTCCCCCATTATTCCCCCTATATCCCCATTATTATCCCTCCATATCCCCCCTATATACCCCATTATTCCCTCTATAACCCCCATTATTATCCCATTATTCCCCCTATATCCCCCATTATTCCCCCTATATTCCCATTATTATACCCCCATTATTCCCCCTATATCCCCCATTATCCCCCATTATTCCCCCTATATCCCCCATTATTCCCCCTATATCCCCATTATTATCCCCCATTATTCTCCCTATATCCCCCATTATTCCCCCTATATCCCCCCATTAATCCCCCTATATTCCTATTATCCCCCATTATTCCCCCATCCCCCATTATCCCCCCATATCCCCATTATTATATCCCCCATTATCCCCCCTATATTCCCATTATTATCCCCCCATTAATCCCCCTATATTCCCATTATTATCCCCATATTATCCCCCCTATATCCCCCATTATTCCCCCTCACCCCTTTTCCCGCCTCCCTCCTCCCCTCACGCCGGCGGCCATCTTGGCCCCCATCCCCATCCCATTCCACCCCATTCCCGTCCCCATTCCCGTTCCCATTCCCACCCCCGTTCCCCTCTCACCTCCCAGCACCAGCCCCAGCACCGCCAGGATCCATCCCGATCCCGATAATCGCGATAATCGCGATAATCCCGGTCCCATCCCGCTGCATCCGGTAGCTCCGGTTTCCCCCTGGGGCCTGAGGTCACTTCTGAGGCACCCCCCGTAGGCCACGCCCCCTTTATCCCGCAGACCACGCCCCCTCCCGCCCTCAAGCCACGCCCACTTCTCGGACACTCACGTGTGGTCTATGGGGTCCATAGGGGATAAAGACCCACCCCCTATAGGAACCTATGGGGCACATTGGGGTGCTATAGGGCCTAAAGACCCCCCTATGGGACCCTATAGACTACTTTGGGGTGCTATAGGGCCTGAAGACCCCCCCATAGACCATTTTGGGGTGCTATAGGGCCTAAATACCCCCCCTATAGACCATTTTGGGGTGCTGTAGGGCCTAAAGACCCCCCCTATAGACCACTTTGGGGTGCTATAGGGCTTAAAGACCCCCCTATAGGACCCTATAGACCATTTCGGGGTGCTATAGAGCCTGACGACCACCCCACAGAAGACTTTGGGGTGCTATAGAGAGCCTAAAGACCCCCCTATAGGACCCTATAGACTACTTTGGGGTGCTATAGGGCCTAAAGACCCCCATATAGAGCCTATGGGGTCCTACAGAGAGCCTAAAGAGCCCCCTATAGGACCCTATGGGGGATCTTGGGGTGCTATAGAGAGCCTATGGAGCATCATGGGGTCCTATGGAGAGCCTAAAGGCCCCCTATAGGACCCTATAGCCCACCCCAGGGTCCTATAGAGACCCTATAGAGCACACTGGGACCCTATAGAGATCCTATAGAGCACCCTATAGGGCTTTACCATGGGTGATACCCCTATAGACACCCACTAGGGCCCTATAGCAGGACCTGTAGACCATATAGCCCCCATATAACACCTATAGGGCCCTATAGGGTCCCTATAGGTCAGCCCTATAGGTCCCCCCCATAGGTGCCCCATAGGCCCCAAGGGCACCGGAAGTGCCCAACCCCACCCTGGGCCACATCACCCCCATTAACGAGCCCCGGATGTGCCTCATTAAGCACACCCTATAATAAAGAGGGGGTGTGTCTAAACCGACCAATCAGAGCAAAGCCCGGCTTGAAGCGACCAATCAGAGCGTGAGGCACAAAGCGAAGTGACCAATCAGGTGGTTTTCCCTCCTCCCCCCCCCCCAAAATGACGCGTTTAATGGGGTAGGTTAAAAAGAGGGGGGGGGAGAGCTTCAATACAAAACATAGGGGGCGGGATATGTGGGGCAGAGGGGGGGCTATGGGGCGGGATATAGGGGGCAGGGGGCTCAATAGGGCCTCTCGCGGCGGTCCTGCCGGTGGTCGCCCCTATGGAGAGAGCAGAGGGGTCAATGGGGAGAGGTTATGGGGCAGAGGGAAGCTATAGGGAGAGGCTATAGGGCGCAGTGGACAATGGGGATCTATGGGGCGCAGAGTGATCAATGGGGATCTATGGGGCAGAGAGTGAACAAGGGGGATCTATAGGGCACAGAGTGAACAATGGGAATCTATGGGGCACAGAGTGAACAATGGGAGTCTATGGGGCACAGAGTGAACAATGGGGATCTATGGGTCCCACTGCCCCTCATTACCCCATCTATGGCTCCCATTGCCCCCCATTACCCCATCTATGGCTCCCATTGCCCCCCATTACCCCATCTATGGGTCCCATTACCCCATCTATGGGTCCCATTACCTCCCATTACCCCCTCTATGGGTCCCATTGCCCCCCATTACCCCATCTATGAATCCCATTGCCCCCCATTACCCCCTCTATGGGTCCCATTACCCCCCATTACCCCCTCTATGGGTCCCATTGCCCCCCATTGCCCCCCATTACCCCCTCTATGGGTCCCATTGCCCCCCATTACCCCATCTACGGGTCCCATTGCCCCCCATTACCCCCTCTATGGGTCCCATTGCCCCCCATTACCCCATCTATGGGTCCCATTGCCCCCCATTACCCCATCTATGGGTCCCATTGCCCCCCATTACCCCCCTTGATCCCATTGCCCCCCTTGATCCCATTGCCCCCCATTGCCCCCCTTGATCCCATTGCCCCCCATTGCCCCCATTGCCCCCCTTGATCCCATTGCCCCCCATTGCCCCCTTGATCCCATTGCCCCCCATTGCCCCCCTTGATCCCATTGCCCCCCATTGCCCCCATACCTGGAGTCCATCTTGCCGGGCCCGAAGCCTCCTCTCTCTCCTCCTCCTCCTCTTCCTCCTCGGAACCCCCCCCTCTCCCCGCCCCTCCCCCCCCTGTACCCCCCTCCCCCTCCCCCCCGCTCGAAGCCTCCGCGCCCCCCCCGGCGCTCGTCCCCGAAGCCGCCTCCACCTATGGGGAGAGAGGGTGGAGATGACGTCACGCATCTCATTAACGGGTCATGTATATCATTAAGGGGTCATGCATGTCATTAAGGGGTCATGCATGTCATTAAGGGGTCACGCATATCGTTATGGGGTCATGCATATCATTATGGAGGCATGCATATCATTATGGGGGCACACGTGTTATTATGGGGTCATGCATGTCATTAAGGGGTCATGCATGTCATTAAGGGGTCATGCATATCATTAAGGGGTAATGCATGTCATTATGGGGTCGTGTCTCATTAAATGGTCATGCATGTCATTAAGGGGTCATGCATATCATTATGGGGGCATGCATATCATTAAGGGGTCATGCATATCATTAAGGGGTCGTGCATGTCATTAAGGGGTCATTCATATCATTAAGGGGTCGTGCATGTCATTAAGGGGTCATGCATATCATTAAGGGATCATGCATATCATTATGGGGTTATGCATGTCATTAAGGGGTCACGCATATCATGGGGTCACACGTGTCATTATGGGGTCACGCATATCATTATGGGGTCACGCATGTCATTAGGGTGTCATGCGTCTCATTATGGGGTCACGTGTCTCATTATGGATTCACGCATCTCATTATGACGTCATGCCGTACCCATGTGGTTGGCGCCGCGGTTGGCTCCGCCTCCTCCGCCCCCCCCCGGGTACTTGCCCATGTGGGGGGCCCCGGGCCCCTCGGGTTTGGGGGCTTTGCATTGGTTGCATTCGTTCCGCCAGGAGAAGTTCATGTTCTCGCAGGCCCTAGGGGGGAGACGGTGACGTCATCAGTGACGTCATCAATGACGTCATCAATGACATCAATAGCATCGTCAATAACGTCATCAATGGCACCATCAATGGCATAATCGATGCTTTATCAATGACATCATCAATGACATCAAATGACTTCATCAATAGCATCATCAATAGCATCATCAATGGCACAATCAATGATGTCATCAATGATGTCATCAATGACATCAATGACTTCATCAATGGCATTATCAATGACGTCATCAATGACGTCATCAATGCCATCAATAGCATCATCAATAGCATCATCAATAGCATCATTAATGGCATCATCAACAATGACGTCAATGACATCGTCAATTGCACTGTCAATGACATCATCAATGGCATCATCAATGCCATCAATAGCATCAATGACATCATCAATAGCATCATCAATAGCATCATCAACAACATCAAAGGCATCATCAATGACATCATCAATGACATCATCAATGGCACTGTGAATGACATCATCAATGGCATCAATAACTTCATCGATGACATCATCAATAGCATCATCAATGGTGTAATCAATGGCATCAATGGCATCACCAATGGCATCAAAGGCGTCACCAATGACATCATCAATGGCATCATCAATAGCATTATCAATGACATCATCAATGACGTCACCAATGACATCACTAATGCCATTATCAATGACGCTATCAATAGCATCACCAATGACGTCATCAATGACGGTATCAATGCTATCATCAATGACGCCACCAATAGCACCATCAATGACGTCATCGATGACATCATCAATGGCACCATCTATAGCATCAATGACGCCATCAATGACATCATCAATGACGTCACCAATGACATTATCGATAGGAACATCAGTGACGCCATCAGTGACCTAATCAATGATGCCATCAATGACGTCATCGATGACATCATCGATGACGTCATAGTGAGGGGTGTTTTGGGGTGAAACACTCACGGATTGGGGCATTTCCAGTCTCCTGCTCGCTGCTGGCCCCCCCCTCCACTGGGGAACCCGCCCCGGGAACCGGAACCGGAACCGGAGCCACCGAAGCCACCGCGCCCCATAGGGCCTGGGGGGGGAGGGGAAAGAAGGGGGTTTTGGGGTGAAATCAAGGGGGTTTTGGGCAAAAGGAGTGTGTGAAGTAAGGGTTTTGGGGAAATAAGGGGGTTTTGGGGTGAAATCAAGGGGGTTTGGGGTGAAAAAGGTGGATTTTGGAGTGAAAACTCAGACTTTCGGGTGGAAAGGTGGATTTTGGGTTGAAAAAGGCAGATTTTGGGGTGGAAAGGTGAATTTTGGGGTGAAGAGGATGGATTTTGGGGTGAGAAAAGCGGATTTTGGTGCTCACCTCCCCGTCCGCGCCCCCCCCGTCCGCCGCCCCCCCCCCGGTTGAAGTCTGCTCTGCGGGTGGCGAAGGAAACCTTGATGGGGTTCCCGGAGAACTCTTTACCTAAACCGGGGGAAATGGACCCAAAATGAGGCCCGGGGGGGGGGAGGGGGCGTGGTCATGGGAAAGAGGCGTGGCTATGGGGAGGGGGCGTGGCCACGTGAAGAAGCTATGGGCATTAGGAGGGGGTGTGGTTATGGGCAGGAGGCGTGGTCACAGGGAGGGGGCATGGCCATGGGCAGGAGGCGTGGTCATAATAAGGGCTTGTGGACATGGGGAGGGGGGCGTGGTCATGGGGAGGAGGGCGTGGTCATAGGGAGGGGGCGTGGCCATGGGAAGGGGGAGTGGCCATGGGGGCATTGCCATGGGGAGGGGGCGTGATCATGGGGAGGGGTTGTGGCAATGGGGGCGTGGCCATTGGGAAGAGGCATGGCCGTGGGGAGGGGGTGTGGCCATGGGGAGGGGGCGTGGTTGTGGGGAGGAGGGGGCCACGGGGAGGGGGCGTGGCCATAAGAAGGGGTTGTGGCCATAGGGAGGGGGCGTGGTAATGGGGTCGTGGCCATGGGGAGGGGGTGTGCCCATGGGGGAGTGGGCGTGGCTATAGGGAAGGGGCGTGGCCATAAGGAGGTGGCGTGATCATGGGGAGGGGGCATGGATATGGGAAGGAGGTGTGGCCATGGGAAGAGTGTGTGGTTATAGGGAGGGGTTGTGGCCATGGGGGCGTGGCCACAGGGAGGGGGCGTGGCCATAAGAAGGGGTTGTAGTCATGAGCAGGGGGTGTGACCATGGTCACGGGGAGGGGGGGCGTGGCCTCACCGTCGAACCAATCAATGGCGGCCTTGGCGGAGGGGGGGTCGTCGAAGGAGACGGTGGCCTCCCCCTTGAGCTTGCCGGTCTCGCGGTCCGTGTACAGGTTGATCATGGGCTGGCCGGTCTTCTTGTTGGTCTGCGGGGGACACGGGAAGGACACGCTAAGGACATGCTAAGGACACGCTAAGGACATGCTAAGGACACGCTAAGGACAGGGTGATCATGGGCTAGCCGGTCTTGTTGGTCTGCGGGGGGACACGGTAAGGACATGCTAAGGACATGCTAAGGACACGCTAAGGACAGGTTGATAATGGGCTGGCCTGTCTTCTTGTTGGTCTGGGAGGGCGGTGACACGGTAAGGACATGCTAAGGACATGCTAAGGACACGCTAAGGACAGGTTGATCATGGGCTGGCCGGTCTTGTTGGTCTGTGGGGGGACACGGTAAGGACATGCTATGGACATGCTATGGACACGCTAAGGACACGCTAAGGACACGCTAAGGAGACACAAAAGACACACAAAGGGCACAGCACTGTGTTAAAGACAGGCTAAGGGGGTTGGGCATGGAGAGCAGGTCCATTAGGGGGGTACAGGGATGTAGAACATGCTAAGGACATGCTAAGGACACACTAAGGATACCTTAAGGACACGCAAAGGGCGCAGCAGTGTGTGAAGGATGTGGTAAGAGGGGGTGGGGATAGAGAGGGGTGCCATTGGGGGGCTATAGAGATATAGAACATGCTAAGGACATGCTAAGGACACGCTAAGCACACGCTAAGCACCTTGATGATGCCGATCTGCTTGAAGTAGTCGGCCACGGACTCGATGGTCACGTTCTCGCCCAGGCCCTGCACGAAGATGGTGTTGTTGTCCGAGTTATCCTGGTCGCCTGCATGCAAATCACCTCATTAATGCTAATTTATGCTAATTAATGCTAATTAGCCGCCATTAACCCCCTTGCCATTCATTAAACCCCATTATTAAGCATTAATGAATCGCCCTAATGGCACCCAGCCCTAATTACTTAATGACACCAATTAACCCCTTCATTACCTGAATTAACCCCTTAACTAAGCCGATTACCCCTTTATTACCCCAATAAATTCCCTAGTGAACCCCATTAACCCTTTAATTACCTTGGACCCTTTCCGACCCCAATCAACCCCTTAATGAACCCAATTAATCCCTTAATTACATCTAATTAAGCCTTTACGACTGCAAATAACCCTTAATGACACCAATTAACCCCTTTATTACCCCAACGAACCCCTTAATAACCCATAATTAGGCCCTTAATGACCTCTAATCAACCCCTTAATTACTCCAATTAGCGTTAACGACCCAAACTCCTTAATTACCCCAATTAATGCCTTTAGTACCCTATTTGACCCCTCAATGACCCCAATTAACCCCTTTAATTACCCCAATTAACCCCTCAGTGACCCCAATTAACCCCTCAATGACCCCAATTAACCCCTCAATGACCCCTCAATGACCCCTCAATGACCCCATTCATGCCCCTCCCCCCTTACCTGCATCGTGCCTTGGCCCTTGGTCCCGAGGTCCTTCAATGGGGGGGGAGGGGCACATGCAAAAAGCAACACAATGGAGCATTAATTAACCCCGGTGTTAATTAAGGGGGGGGGGCAATGACCCCCCCTTTATACCCCTCCCCTCACCCCATTTTGGGGCGAAAACCCCACTTTTTGGGGCTAAAAATACCCTTTTTTGGGGGTGCTCCAAAAACCCTGTTTTTCACCTCAAAAACCCTTTATTTGGGGTCAAACCCTGCTTTCCCCCTCCCCCAACCTTTGTTTTGGGGGCAAACCCGGCCTTTTTGGGTCCGTTTTGAGAATACCCGTTTTTGGTCACACCAACCTTTGGTTACCGGCGCACACAGGGCCGAAAGCCCCAAAATCCTGCTTTTTGTCCCCAAAATGAGCGCTAACACCTCCAAAAGGGTGTTTGGGCTAAAAACCAGCCTTTTTGACCCAAAAACCTCACTTTTTTAGCGCGCTTTTAGCCCTTTTTTACCTTTTTTTGGGGTCCGAACTTTTACCACTTTTTGACCCATTTTTTGTCTATTTTTACCTGTTTTTCCCCATTTTTAAGGCGGTTTTGCTCTTTTCACCTCCTTTTCACCTCATTTTATCAGTTTTTAAATCGTTTTTCCCGTTTTTCACCTCATTTCTCCCATTTTTACCTCTTTTTCACCAGTTTTCCCTTGTTTTGCCCATTTTCACCTTGTTTTTTCCATTTTCACCTCATTTTTTTACCTTTTCTCATTTTCACCTCATTTTCTCCGTTTTTACCTCATTTTTCCCATTTCCACCTCATTTTCTCCGTTTTTACCTCATTTTTTCCATTTTTCCCTCATTTTTTCCCATTTCCACCTCATATTTTCCGGTTTTACCTCATTTTTCCCATTTTCACCTCATTTTTCCCATTTCCACTTCATTTTCTCCATTTTTACCTCAATTTTCCCATTTCCATTTCATTTTCACCTCATTTTTTCCCATTTTTACCTCATATTTTTCATTTTTACCTCATTTTTCACCTTGTTTTCTCCATTCTCACCGCATTTTCTCCATTTTTACTTCAATTTTCCCATTTCCACCTCATTTTCTCAGTTTTTACCTCATTCTCTTCATTTTTACCTCATTTTCACTTCATTTTCCGCATTTTTTTACCTGAATTTTCCCATTTCCATTTTTTTCACCTCATTTTTTCCCATTTTCACCTCATTTTTTCCCATTTTCACCTTTTTTCCCATTTTCACCTCATTTTTACCTCATTTCTCCGATTTTCACCTCGTTTTTCCCATTTCACTTCATTTTTCCCATTTTCACCTCATTTTTCCCATTTTCACCTCATTTTTACCTCATTTCTCCCATTTTCACCTCATTTTTCCCATTTCACTTCATTTTTTCCCATTTTCACCTCATTTTCTCAATTTTTACCTCTTTTTCCCCATTTTTACCTCGTTTTTCCCATTTCCACATTTTTTACCCATTTTCATCTCATTTTCTCCATTTATATCACCTTGTTTTGGCCATTTTCACCTTATTTTTCCCATTTTCACCTCATTTTATGTCATTTTTAATTAATTTTCGTGCTTTTATATCATTTTCACCTCATTTTCACCATTTTCTCGTTACCCCTTTTACCAATTCTTCTCTTTTTAACCTCATTTTTCCATTGTTCCCATATACGGATGTTCTCTACCGTTCTTTTTACCAATTTCTGCCCTTTTTACCTCATTTTCTCCATTTTTACCTTTTTTCCCGTTTTCACCTCATTTTCACCATTTTCACCTCATTTTCACCTCATTTTCCCCATTCTTACCTCATTCTCAGCTCATTTTCCCATTTTTCCTTCATTTTCACGATTTTTACCTCATTTTCCCCTCATTTTCCTCCATTTTCACCATAATTTCCCCATATTTACCTCATTTTCACCACTTTCACCTCATTTTCTCCATTTTTAACTCATTTTCCCATTTTTCCTTCATATTCCTCATTTTTATCTCATTTTCTCCATTTTCACCTCATTTTTCCCATATTTTCGCCACTTTTACCTCATTTTCACCTCATTTTCTCCATTTTCACCTTCATTTTCCCATTTTCACCTCATTTTCCCCATTTCCGCCTCATTTTCACTTCTTTTTCCTCCATTTCCACCTCTTTTGACCATTTTCACTTTTTCCCCATTTTCACCTTATTTTCACCATTTTTACGTCTTTTTGCCCCATTTTCACCTTTTTTCACCATTTTCACCTTTCCAATTTTTTTTTGCCCCATTTCCACCTCCTTTGACCATTTTCATTTTTTTTCCAATTTCAATTTTTGTCCCATTTCCACCTCTTTTTTCACCATTTTCACCTTTTTGCCCCATTTCCACCTCTTTTTTGACCATTTTCACTTTTTCCAATTTCCATTTTTTCCCCATTTCCACCTCTTTTCACCTCATTTTCAATTTTTTTTCCCATTTCCACCTTTTTTTGCCCCATTTCCACCTCCTTTCACCATTTCCACCTCTTTTTGACCCATTTTCACCTCTTTTTTAACCATTTTCACCTTTTTTTTCCAATTTCCACTTTTTTTGACCCATTTTCACCTTATTTCCCCATTTCCACCTCTTTTTTGACCATTTCCACCTCTTTTTGCCCCATTTTCACCTTTTTTGACCATTTCCACCTTTTTGCCCCATTTTCACCTTTTTTAACCATTTTCACCTTTTTTTTTTCGATTTCCACTTTTTTTGCCCCATTTCCACCTTTTTCCCCATTTCCACCCCTTTTTTCCCCATTTTCACTTTTTGACCATTTTCACCTCTTTTTTCCCCATTTCCACCTCATTTGACCTTTTTCACCATTTTTTCCAATTTCCACTTTTTTTGCCCCATTTCCACCTCTTTTTGGACCATTTCCACCTCTTTTTGCCCCATTTTCACCTCTTTTTTAACCATTTTCACCTTTTTTTCCAATTTCCACATTTTTTGCCCCATTTCCACCTTTTTTGACCATTTCCACCTCTTTCAGCCCCATTTCCACCTCTTTTTTAATCATTTTCACCTTTTTTCCAATTTCCACTTTTTTTGCCCCATTTCCACCTCTTTTTTGACCATTTCCACCTCTTTTTTCCCCATTTCCAAGCCTCTCTTTCGGGGCAAAACACCCCAAAAAAGAGCAGCACCGCACCCCGAACCCCTTCATGACCAGAAACCACCACTTCCGTTTTGAGGCAAAATCCCCACTTTTTGGGCTTTTCTCGGCCACTTACCCCCGAACTTACTGAAGGCACCGCGCTCACCACCGCTGAGGAGATAAATGGGGAGAAAACACACAAAATGAAGCTTTTTGGGCAACCCCTGCCAAAAAACGGGCCGAAAACCACACAAAACGACCAAAAATGGGGCAAAACGACCAAAAATGGGGCAAAACGACCAAAAATTGGGCAAAACGACCAAAAAATGGCATTTTTACAGGGGGGGCGGTGAATTTGGGGCTAAAAGCAGCGTTTTTGGGTCCGCTCCGTTGCTGCTGGTTTCTCGCTGCCGTTGAGCGGCTCCGTTCAAAAAGCCCCAAATCGGGCGTTTTTTGCCCCAAAAATCCGTTTTTAACGCTGTTTTTGGCTTATTTTTACCGTTTCCCCCCGTTTTTTTGGGTTGAAAACGAGGGATTTTGGTGGCCCTTGAGTGTGGTTGGGTTTTAAGCAGCGCTCTGAAACCTTACGTTTTTCTGTGCCCCTTTTTGCCCTTTTCTGCCTGTTTTTACCCCAAAAGCGCGCCTTGCTCTCCACCTGCAGCACACAAAAGGCAGAGGTTGCGTTAACACAAAGCACAACAGAAGCCCCCGCCGCCAGCCCATAATACTCACCCGACACCCAAAATCGCCTTTTTTCCACCCAAAATCCTTGTTTTGGGCTCAAAAATGGGTTTTTTTGACGTTTTTTTCGTGCACCGAACCCAAATCGGCGCTTTTTCACCCCAAAAGCGATGGTTTTTGACTGCGGTGACGTCATCGCCATGCCCACTTTTGGGCCAAAAATGGGTGTTTTTGGCGCGCGTTTTGACCTAAAACCACCTTTTTTACCCCAAATCTGCGGGGGTGACCCAAAAACCCCCTTTTTTGCCCTTATTTTATGCGTTTTGACCCAAAAATCACGTTTTTTGCCTCTATTTTACGCGTTTTGACCCAAAAATCACCTTTTTTACCCCAAATCTGTGGGGTTTGACCCAAAAATCACTTTTTCCCCAAGATTTGGGGGAATGACCCAAAACCCACCTTTTTTTGCTATTTTTATGCGTTTTGACCCAAAAAACCACTTTTTACCCCAAATCTGTGGGGTTTGACCCAAAAATCATTTTTTTTACCTCAAATCCGTGGGGGCAACCCAAAAAATCACCTTTTCTGACCCTATTTTATGTGTTTTGACCCAAAAAACACCATTTTTACCCCAAATCCGTGGGTTAAAACCGCAAAAACCACCTTTCTCACCCCTATTTCAAGTGTTTTGACCCAGAACCCACCTTTTTTACCCCAAATCCGGGGGGTTTGACCCAAAAATCACCTTTTTCGCCCGTATTTTGTTTTGACCCGAAAATCACCTTTACCCCAAATCCGTGGGGTCAGACCCAAAAAATCACCTTTCTCACCCCTATTTCAGGTGTTTTGACCCAAAAAACACCTTTTTTACCCCAAATCCGTGGGTTAAAACCCAAAAAACACCTTTTTCACCCCTATTTTGTGTTTTGACCCGAAAAACACCTTTTTTTACCCCAAATCCGTGGGGTAAGACCCAAAAATCACCTTTTCTGCCCCTATTTTATGTGTTTTGACCCAAAAAACACGTTTTTTACCCCAAATCTTTGGGGTGTGACCCAAAAATCACCTTTCTCACTATTCTATGTGTTTTGAACCAAAAACCGCCTTTTTTACCCCAAATCCAGGGGGTGTGACCCAAAAATCACCTTTCTCACCTCTATTTTAAGTGTTTTGACCCAAAAAACACCTTTTTTACCCCAAATTTGTGGGGTGTCACCCGAAAATCACCTTTTTTTGCTACTGTTTTATGTGGTTGACCCCAAAACCACTGTTTTTACCCCAAATCCGTGGGGTTTGACACAAAAACCACCTTTTTTGCCCGTTTTTTACCCAAAAACTACCTTTTTTACCCCAAATCTGTGGGGTTTGACCAAAAAAACCACCTTTTTTGCCCTTATTTCATGCATTTTGACCAAAAACTACCTTTTTTCCCCCAAGATTAGAGGGGGGTGACCCAAAAACCACCTTTTTTACCCCAAATCTGCGGGGTTTCGCTCTAAACCCACCTTTTCATGCGGTTTGACCCAAAATCCACCTTTTTCCACTCAAAACCTGAGGTTTGACCCAAAAACCCACCTTTTTACCCTAATTTCATGCATTTCGATGTAAAAACCACTTTTTACCCACGCCATCTGCGGGTTTTGACCCAAAAACCACGTTTTTCACCCCGATTTCATGCATTCTGACCCAAAAAACACCTTTTTTCACCCAAAATCCGTGCGGTTTGACCCAAAAATCACCTTTTTCACCCCGATTTCATGCATTTTGATCCAAAAACCGCTTTTTAACCCCAAAATCTGTGGGGTTTCACTCAAAAACCACCTTTTTCCTCCAATTTTACGCATGGAGACCCCAAAAGCACCTTTTTCACCCCAAATCTGTGGGGTTTGACCCAAAAATCACCTTTTTCACCCCAAATCTGCGGGGTTCGACCCAAAAACCACCTTTTTCTCCCCAATTTTAAGCGTTTTGACCAAAAAACCACCTTTTCCCCCCAAAATCCGGGGGTTTTGACCCAAAAATCAGCTTTTTCACTATTTCATGCATTTGGACCCCCAAATCTACGTGGTTTGACCCCAAAACCACCTTTTTTCCCCTATTTTATAGGTTTTGACCTAAAAACCGCCTTTTTCCACCCAAATTTGTGGATTTTGACCCAAATTGCACCTTTTTTCCCCCAAAATCCCCGTTTTCTGGGAGGGGGGTGTGTATGGTGTGGGTGTCCCTTCCCCTTCCCATTGCACCCCATTACCCCCCTATTACCCCCCATTGGGATGCATAGAATGGGGGGCACCCATTACCCCCCATTAAACCCCATTACCCCCCATTAAACCCCATTACCCCCCATTAAACCCCATTACCCTATGTACCCCATTACCCCCTATGTACCCCATTACCCCCATGTACCCCATTACCCTATGTACCCCATTACCCCTATGTACCCCATTACCCCCTATGTACCCCATTACCCCCTATGTACCCCATTACCCCCTATGGACCCCATTATCCCCTATGTACCCCATTATCCCCTATGTACCCCATTATCCCCTATGTACCCCATTACCCCCTATGTACATGCACCCCACACCCTACCCCATAGTGGGGGCTCCCCCTCGGGCTCCCCGGTTGCCTCGGCCCCCCCTCTCGTAGCCGCCCCGGTTGTAGCCCCCTATGTACCCCATTACCCCCCATGTACCCTTACCCCATTCCCCATGTACCCACCCCCTATCCCGTACCCCATTACCCCCATGTACCCCATTACCCCCATGCACCCCACACCTACCCCATAGTGGGGGCTCCCCCTCGGGCTCCCCGGTTGCCTCGGCCCCCCCTCTCGTAGCCGCCCCGGTTGTAGCTCCCTATGTACCCCATTACCCCCTATGTACCCCATTACCCCCTATGTACCCCATTACCCCCATGTACCCCATTACCCCCTGTACCCCCATTACCCCCTATGCCCCCCATTACCCCCTATGACCCCATTACCCCTACAACCCCCATTACCCCCTATGCCCCCATTACCCCCTATGTACCCCATTACCCCCTATGTACCCCATTACCCCCTATGTACCCCATTACCCCCTATGTACCCCATTATCCCCTATGTACCCCATTACCCCCATGCACCCCACACCTACCCCATAGTGGGGGCTCCCCCTCGGGCTCCACGGTTGCCTCGGCCCCCCTCTCGTAGCCGCCCCGGTTGTAGCCCCCTATGTCCCCCATTATCCCCTATGTACCCCATTACCCCCTATGTACCCCATTACCCCTATGTCCCCCTTATCCCCTATGTACCCCATTACCCCCATGTACCCCATTACCCCCTATGTACCCCATTACCCCCTATGGACCCCATTACTCCCTATGTACCCCATTACCCTCTATGTACCCCATTACCCCCTATGTACCCCATTATCCCCTATGTACCCCATTATCCCCTATGTACCCCATTACCCCCTATGTACCCCATTACCCTCTATGTACCCCATTACCCCCTATGTACCCCATTACCCCCTATGTACCCCATTATCCCCTATGTACCCCATTACCCCCATGCACCCCATTACCCCCTATGTACCCCATTATCCCCTATGTACCCCATTACCCCCATGCACCCCACACCTACCCCATAGTGGGGGCTCCCCCTCGGCTCCCCGGTTGCCTCGGCCCCCCCTCTCGTAGCCGCCCCGGTTGTAGCCCCCTATGTACCCCATTACCCCCTATGTACCCCATTATCCCCTATGTACCCCATTATCCCCTATGTACCCCATTACCCCCTATGTACCCCATTACCCCCCATGTCCCCCATTATCCCCTATGTACCCCATTACCCCCATGTACCCCATTACCCCCTATGTACCCCATTATCCCCTACGTACCCCATTACCCCCATGCACCCCACACCTACCCCATAGTGGGGGCTCCCCCTCGGGCTCCCCGGTTGCCTCGGCCCCCCCTCTCGTAGCCGCCCCGTTGTAGCCCCCTATGTACCCCATTACCCCCTATGTACCCCATTATCCCCTATGTACCCCATTATCCCCTATGTACCCCATTATCCCCTATGTACCCCATTACCCCCATGTCCCCCATTATCCCCTATGTACCCCATTATCCCCTATGTTCCCCATTACCCCCTATGTACCCCATTACCCCCATGCACCCCATTACCCCCTATGTACCCCATTACCCCCTATGTACCCCATTACCCCTATGTACCCCATTACCCCCTATGTACCCCATTACCCCCTATGTACCCCATTACCCCCATGTCCCCCACACCTACCCCATAGTGGGCTCCCCCTCGGCTCCCCGGTTGCCTCGGCCCCCCCTCTCGTAGCCGCCCCGGTTGTAGCCCCCTATGTACCCCATTCCCTATGTACCCCATTATCCCCTATGTACCCCATTACCCCCATGTCCCCCATTATCCCCTATGTACCCCATTATCCCCTATGTTCCCCATTACCCCCTATGTACCCCATTACCCCCATGCACCCCATTACCCCCTATGTACCCCATTACCCCCTATGTACCCCATTACCCCTATGTACCCCATTACCCCCTATGTACCCCATTACCCCCTATGTACCCCATTACCCCCATGTACCCCACATGTACCCCATATGTACCCCCCTGCTCCCCGTTCCTCCCCCCCCTTGTACCCCCTTGTACCCCCTATGTACCCCATTACCCCCTATGCCCCCATTACCCCCTATGAACCCCATTACCCCCTATGACCCCCATTACCCCCTATGCCCCCCATTACCCCTATGACCCCCATTACCCCCTATGCCCCCCATTACCCCCTATGTACCCCATTACCCCCTATGCTACCCATTTTCTACCCCTATGTACCCCATTACCCCCTATGTACCCCATTACCCCCTATGTACCCATTACCCCTATGTACCCCATTATCCCTATGTACCCATTATCCCCTATGTACCCCATTACCCCCTATGTACCCCATTACCCCCTATGTACCCCATTACCCCCCATGCACCCCATTACCCCCTATGTACCCCATTACCCCCATGCACCCCACACCTACCCCATAGTGGGGGCTCCCCCTCGGGCTCCCCGGTTGCCTCGGCCCCCCCTCTCGTAGCCGCCCCGGTTGTAGCCCCCTATGTACCCCATTACCCCCTATGTACCCCATTACCCCCTATGCACCCCATTACCCCCTATGTACCCCATTACCCCCTATGTACCCCATTACCCCCTATGTACCCCATTATCCCCTATGTACCCCATTACCCCCATGCACCCCATTATCCCTATGTACCCCATTACCCCCTCTGCACCCCATTATCCCCTATGTACCCCATTACCCCCATGCACCCCATTACCCCCTATGTACCCCATTACCCCCTATGTACCCCATTACCCCTATGTACCCCATTACCCCCATGTACCCCATTATCCCCTATGTACCCCATTATCCCCTATGTACCCCATTACCCCCTATGTACCCCATTACCCCTATGTACCCCATTACCCCCATGCACCCCATTACCCCCTATGTACCCCATTACCCCCATGCACCCCACACCTACCCCATAGTGGGGGCTCCCCCTCGGGCTCCCCGGTTGCCTCGGCCCCCCCTCTCGTAGCCGCCCCGGTTGTAGCCCCCTATGTACCCCATTACCCCCTATGTACCCCATTACCCCCATGTACCCCATTATCCCCTATGTACCCCATTATCCCCTATGTACCCCATTACCCCCTATGTACCCCATTACCCCCTATGTACCCCATTACCCCCCATGCACCCCATTACCCCCTATGTACCCCATTACCCCCATGCACCCCACACCTACCCCATAGTGGGGGCTCCCCCTCGGGCTCCCCGGTTGCCTCGGCCCCCCCTCTCGTAGCCGCCCCGGTTGTAGCCCCCTATGTACCCCATTATCCCCTATGTACCCCATTACCCCCTATGTACCCCATTATCCCCTATGTACCCCATTACCCCCATGCACCCCATTACCCCCTATGTACCCCATTACCCCCTATGTACCCCATTACCCCCATGCACCCCACACCTACCCCATAGTGGGGGCTCCCCCTCGGGCTCCCCGGTTGCCTCGGCCCCCCCTCTCGTAGCCGCCCCGGTTGTAGCCCCCTCGGCCCCGGCTCCGCTCCCCCGGGGGGGCCCCCCCCCCGTAGGAGCCTTGGTCCTGGTACCCCCCCCCGCTGCTCAGCGGCGCCGCCTCCTGGCTGTAGCTGGAGCCTAAGGGAGACACAGAAAGGAACCAAAATCAGTGGGTTTCACCCCAAAATGAGGCTGCTTTTAGCCAAAATGGCCGCTTTTTACCCTAAAATCCGCTTCTTTTACCCCAAAATCCACTTCTTTGACCCCAAAATGGTGGGGTTTTACCCCAAAATGAGGCTGCTTTTAACCAAAATGGTGTTTTTTACCCCAAAATCCACTTCTTTCAACCCAAAATGATGGTTTTTACCCCCAAAACAACTTCTTTTACACCAAAATGGTGGGGTTTTACCCCAAAATCCGCTTCTTTTACCCCAAAATGATGGTTTTTACCCCAAAATCCACTTCTTTTACACCAAAATGGTGGGGTTTCACCCCAAAATCCACTTATTTCACCCCCAAATGGTGGGGTTTTACCCCAAAATAGTGAGGTTTTACCCCAAACCAATATTTTACCCCAAAACGGTGTTTACCCCAAAACAAAGGCTTTTTTACCCTGAAAGTGGTTTTTTACCCCAAACTGAAGGTTTTTTACCCCAGACTGGGCTTCTTTTACCCCAAAATGGCAATTTACCCCAAAATAATGTTTTTTTACCCCAAAACCGGGGTTTTACCCCAAAATGGTTTTTTACCCCAAAACAGTTTTTTACCCCAAAACGGGATTCTTTTACCCCAAAATGGCAATTTTTACCCCAACACACTGTTTACCCCAAAACGGTGGTTTTTTTACCCCAAAACATTTTTTACCCCAAAATTAAGTCTTTTTATCCCAAAACAGGCTTCTTTTACCCCAAAATGGTGGGGGTTTACCCCAAAATAGTGGGGTTTTCCCCCAAAGTGGTGTTTCTTTACCCAAAATTATGAGATTTTCCCCAAAATCCGCCCTCAAATTTTCTTTCCCTCTAAACTTGTTTTCCCTCCAAAATTCTCGATAATTTTCCCAATAATTCTCCATTTCCCCAAATTTTCCCTTTTCCCTTCCAATTCACAACAAAATTCCCCAATTTCCCCATGAATTCTCTATCACCCGGTAAATTCAAACTTTTTCCCTTGAATTTTCGGTTTTCCCCAACTCTCGATTTTTTCACAAAATTTTCAAAGTTCCTCTCAAAATCCTCGTTTCTCCCCAAAATTCTTCATTTCCCCCCAAATTCTCAATTTTTCTCCCCAAATTCTCAATGTTTTGATTTTTCTCGGTTTTTCTCCCAATATTTTCGATTTTTCCAAAATTCTCGATCTTTCCCCAAGTTCTCATTTTTCTAAAATTCTCAAATTCACCACCAAATTCTCATTTTTTCAAAAATTCTCAATTTTCTTCCAAGATTCTCTGTTTTTCTCCCAAAATCCTGGATTTTCCCAGAAATTTTAATTTCTCCTTAAATTTTCAAACTTTTTGAATTTTTTCCCAAAATTTTCAAATTTTCTCCCAAAATTCTTCTCACTCAGAATTTTGTTTTCTTTGAAAATTTTCAATTTCTCCCCAAAATTCTCAATTTTCTCCCAAAATCCTCAATTTTTCTCCTAAAATTCTCAATTTGTCTATCAAAATCCTCTGTTTTTCCCCAAATTCTCATGTTTTCCCCCATTTTCCCTGCTCCCATCCCATACCGGTGAGGGTGGGGGTTGAAGAACTGGGGAGTTTTACCCCAAAATTGCTTTTTTTAAATAAAATTTAATCTTTACACCAAAATTACGGGATTTTCTCCAAATGTTTTTTCCCAAAATTCTTACTTTTCAGCCAATTTCCCAAAAATTCCTACTTTTTAGAACTTTTTTCCCCGAAAATTCTTGATAATTTCCATCAATTTCCCACAATTCTCAAATTTTTTACTTTTTCTTTAGAAATTCTTGATTTTCTCCCAGATTCTCGATTTTCCTTCCAAAAATTCTCCTTTTCCAAAAATTCCCCATTTTCTCCCAAATTCTCTATTTTTTCTCCCAAAATTCTCTATTTTTCTCCCAAAATCCTTGATTTTTTTCCCAAAATTCTCAATTTTTCTATCAAAATCCCCAAATTCTCAAATTTCCCCCCTAAATCCTTCATTTTCCCCCCCAAATCCTCATGTTTCCCCCCCGTATCCCCGTACCGGTGCTGGCTCCGGTGCCGTACTGGCCCTGCTGGCTGTAGCTGGGGGGGGGGTTGTAGGCCGCCTGCTGGCTGTAGCTGGGCTGTTGCCCGCTGTAGCTGCCCTGGTGGCTGTAGCCGCTGCTGGGGGGCTGCCCGTAGCTGGAGCTCTGCGAGCTGCTGCTGTAGCTGCACCAAAACACCCCCCTTTCAGCCCAAAACAGGCCAGTTTGACCCAAAAATGGGTCATTTTGACCCAAAAAAGTGTCGTTTGGACCCAAAAAAGGGTTATTTCGACATAAAATGCGTCATTTTGACCCAAAAGTGTCATTTTGACCCAAAAAAGGGTCATTTTGACATAAAACGCATCATTTTGACCCAAAAAAAGTGTTATTTTGACCCAAAAAAGCGTCATTTTGACCCAAAAAGTGTTATTTTGACCCAAAACGCGTTATTTTGACACAAAACGCGTCATTTTGACCCAAAAATCTGTCATTTTGACCCAAAAATCTGTCATTTTGACCCAAAAATCTGTCATTTTGACCCAAAAAAGGGTCATTTTGACATAAAACATGTCATTTTGACCCAAAAAAGTGTCATTTTGACCCAAAACGCGTCATTTTGACCCAAAACTCTTCATTTTGACCCAAAATTCTTCATTTTCACCCCAAAAAATGTCATTTTGACACAAAACGCATCATTTTGACCCAAAAAAAATGTCGTTTTGGCCCCAGAAAGCGTCATTTTGACACAAAACATGTCATTTTAACCCAAAAAAGGGTTATTTTGACCCAAAATGCATCATTTTAAACCGAAAGTGTCATTTTGACCCAAAATTGACCCATTTCCACCCATTCCCACCCCATTCCTGCCCCATTTCCCCCAATCAAATGTTTTCCCTCATTCCCACTCATTCCCCCCATTCACACCCCATTCCCCCCCATTCCCCTCCCCATTTCCCTCCCATTCCCTCCCCATTTCCCCCATTCACCCCATCTCCCCCATTCCCATTCCGCCCCATATTCCCCCCCATTCCCACCCCATTTCCCCCATCCCCACCCATTCCCACTTCAACCCTGTTTTTACCCCATTCACACCCCATTTCCAACATTCCCCCCATATTCCCCATTCCCATCTCCCCCATTCCCCCCTTCTCCCCCCCATTTCCATTCCCATTTTCCCCTCCCCCCCCATTTTCCCCCATTCCCCCTCCTTTCCCCCCCATATCCCCCATTCCCATACTCCCCATTCCCCTATTCCCATGTCCCCCATTCCCCCCATATCCCATCCTCCCCCATATCTCATATTCCATCCCCCCCATTCCCATCTCCCCCATTCCCCATATCCCCCTCTATATCCCCATATCTCCATACCCCCCATAACCCCATATCCCCCATATCCCCTATATCCCATCCATCCCATCCCATTCCCCATACCCCCTATATCCCATTCCCCATACCCCCATATCCCCCCATTATCCCATATCCCCCTATATCCCCCCATATCCCATATCCCCCCCCATATCCCCCCCATATCCCCCCATATTACCCCCATATCCCCCCATATCCCCCCATATCCCCCATATCCCCCCCCATATCCCCACCTTCCGGAGGAGGAGCCCCCGCTGGGGGGTTGGGAATACCCCGGATACGCCGCTGCCGCCGCCGCCTGCCCATAGGAGCCCTGCGAGCCCTGCCCGCCCCCGCCGTAGCCCCCGGAGCCGCCGTAGGCCGGGGGCGTGGATTGGGCGCTGTAACCTGGGGGGGGGCACCGGATTGGTCCGCTCAGTACAATGGGAGGGGCCCAAGGGGAGCGGGCCAATGGGAGCGGCCCATTCACCCCAATGGCATCACCCTAATGGGGTCTGCCCATTCACACCAATGGGATCAGCCCATTCACACCAATGGGATCAGCCCATTCCTCCCAATAGGATTAATGCATTCATCCCAATGGAACCATCTTAATGGGATCAGTCCAATGGGATCAGCCGGTTCAAGCCCATGCAATCAGCCCATTCATCCCAATAGGATCAACCCATTCACAAATAGGACCAGCCCATTCATCCCAACAGGACCAGCCTAATGCAACTATCCCATTCAGCCCAATGGGATCAGCCCAATGGGATCACCCCATTAATCCCAATGGGATCAACCCCTTCACCCCAATACGATCAGCCCAATGGGACCGTCCCATTCATCCCAATGGGATCAGCCCATTCATCCCAAAGGAATCAATCCATTCATCTCAACAGAATCAACCCATTCATCCCAACTGGATCAGCCTGTTCATCCCAATAGGATCAACCCATTCATCCCAATGGGATCAACCCATTCCCCCCAATGGCATCATTCCATTCAATCCCGTGGGATCAGCCCATTCAAGCCAATATAATGATCCCATTCAACCCAATGCCCATTCAATCCCAAAGGGACAATCCCATTGAATCCCATGGGATCAGCCCATTAAATCCCATGGAACCATCCCATTCAATCCAATGTGATCACCACGTTCATTCCAACAGGATCAACCCATTGAATCCCAATGGGATCATCCCATTCATCCCAATGGGATCAGCCAACCCAATCCCATGAGATCATCCCATGCAACCCAATGGGATCAATCCATTCATCCCAATGGGATCATCCCATTCATCCCAATGGGACCATTCAATCCCATTTGACCATCCCATTCAACCGCATGCAATCAACCCATTCATTCCAACAGGATCATCCCATTCAATCCAATAGAATAATCCCATTCATCCCAATACGATCACCCCATTCACCCCAACACCCTCACACCATTCAATCCAATAGGACCACCCCATTCAATCCCAATGGGATCATCCCATTCACACCAATAGGAACACCCCATTCACCCCAATAGGATCACCCCATTCACTCCAATGGAATCACCCCATTCACCCCAATAGGCCCACCCCATTCACTCCAATGGACCCACCCCATTCACTCCCATAGTACCACCCCATTCACCCCAATAGGATCACCCCATTCACCCCAATAGAATCACCCCATTCACTCCAATAGGATCACCCCATTCACTCCAATAGGCCCACCCCATTCACCCCAATAGGCCCACCCCATTCACCCCAATGGGATCACCCCATTCACCCCAATGGAACCACCCCATTCACCCCACAAAGACCCCCAAATCCCATAGGATAAAGGGCTCCTCTTACTGCTCTGGCTCTGCCCATAGGATTGGCTGTAGCTGTTCTGCCCATAAGCCGTGCCCACCCCATTCACCCCAATAGGACCACCCCATTCACCCCAATGGACCCACCCCATTCACCCCAATAGGATCACCCCATTCACCCCAATAGTACCACCCCATTCACCCCACAAAGACCCCCAAATCCCATAGGATAAAGGGCTCCTCTTACTGCTCTGGCTCTGCCCATAGGATTGGCTGTAGCTGTTCTGCCCATAAGCCGTGCCCACCCCATTCACCCCAATAGGACCACCCCATTCACCCCAATGGACCCACCCCATTCACCCCAATAGGATCACCCCATTCACCCCAATAGTACCACCCCATTCACCCCACAAAGACCCCCAAATCCCATAGGATAAAGGGCTCCTCTTACTGCTCTGGCTCTGCCCATAGGATTGGCTGTAGCTGTTCTGCCCATAGGCCGTGCCCACCCCATTCACTCCAATGGGCCCACCCCATTCACCCCAATGGAACCACCCCATTCACTCCATTAGGACCACCCCATTCACCCCAATGGAACCACCCCATTCACTCCATTAGGACCACCCCATTCACCCCAATGGAACCACCCCATTCACTCCAATAGGACCACCCCATTCACTCCAATAGGACCGCCCCATTCACTCCATTAGGCCCGCCCCATTCACTCCATTAGGCCCACCCCATTCACTCCAATGGCACCCCATTCACCCCAATGGCCCACCCCATTCACCCCAATGGACCCACCCCATTCACCCCACAAAGACCCCCAAATCCCATAGGATAAAGGGCTTCTCTTACTGCTCTGGCTCTGCCCATAGGATTGGCTGTAGCTGTTCTGCCCATAGGCCGTGCCCACCCCATTCACCCCAATAGGCCCACCCCATTCACCCCAATAGGCCCACCCCATTCACCCCAATGGACCCACCCCATTCACCCCAATGGACCCACCCCATTCACCCCACAAAGACCCCCAAATCCCATAGGATAAAGGGCTTCTCTTACTGCTCTGGCTCTGCCCATAGGATTGGCTGTAGCTGTTCTGCCCATAGGCCGTGCCCACCCCATTCACCCCAATAGGACCACCCCATTCACCCCAATGGGCCCACCCCATTCACCCCACAAAGACCCCCCAAATCCCATAGGATAAAGGGCTTCTCTTACTGCTCTGGCTCTGCCCATAGGATTGGCTGTAGCTGTTCTGCCCATAAGCCGTGCCCACCCCATTCACTCCAATAGGATCAACCCATTCACCCCAATGGAACCACCCCATTCACTCCAATGGAACCACCCCATTCACTCCATTAGGCCCGCCCCATTCACTCCAATAGGACCACCCCATTCACTCCAATAGGACCACCCCATTCACTCCATTAGGCCCGCCCCATTCACTCCAATAGGACCACCCCATTCACTCCATTAAGCCCACCCCATTCACTCCAATAGGCCCACCCCATTCACTCCAATAGGATCACCCCATTCACTCCAATAGGCCCACCCCATTCACCCCAATAGTACCACCCCATTCACTCCCATAGTACCACCCCATTCACCCCCATGGGCCCACCCCATTCACCCCAATGGGCCCACCCCATTCACCCCAATAGGCCCACCCCATTCACCCCAATGGACCCACCCCATTCACCCCAATAGGACCACCCCATTCACCCCAATGGACCCACCCCATTCACCCCACAAAGACCCCCAAATCCCATAGGATAAAGGGCTCCTCTTACTGCTCTGGCTCTGCCCATAGGATTGGCTGTAGCTGTTCTGCCCATAGGCCATGCCCACCCCATTCACCCCAATAGTACCACCCCATTCACCCCAATGGACCCACCCCATTCACCCCACAAAGACCCCCAAATCCCATAGGATAAAGTGCTTCTCTTACTGCTCTGGCTCTGCCCATAGGATTGGCTGTAGCTGTTCTGCCCATAGGCCGTGCCCACCCCATTCACTCCAATGGGATCACCCCATTCACTCCAATGGACCCACCCCATTCACCCCAATAGGCCCACCCCATTCACCCCACAAAGACCCCCCAATCCCATAGTATAAAGGGCTTCTCTTACTGCTCTGGCTCTGCCCATAGGATTGGCTGTAGCTGTTCTGCCCATAGGCCACACCCACCCCATTCACCCCAATGGGCCCACCCCATTCACCCCAATAGTACCACCCCATTCACCCCAATAGGACCACCCCATTCACTCCATTAAGCCCACCCCATTCACTCCAATAGGCCCACCCCATTCAATCCAACAGGATCACCCCATTCAATCCAATGGCATCATCCCATTCACTCCAATAGGACCACCCCATTCACCCCACAAAGACCCCCCAAATCCCATAGGATAAAGGGCTTCTCTTACTGCTCTGGCTCTGCCCATAGGATTGGCTGTAGCTGTTCTGCCCATAGGCCATGCCCACCCCATTCACTCCAATGGGCCCACCCCATTCACCCCAATGGACCCACCCCATTCACCCCAATGGACCCACCCCATTCACCCCAATGGACCCACCCCATTCACCCCACAAAGACCCCCCAATCCCATAGGATAAAGGGCTCCTCTTACTGCTCTGGCTCTGCCCATAGGATTGGCTGTAGCTGTTCTGCCCATAGGCCGCATCCGGGGCCTGGCTGTAGCCACTGTAGCTCTGCTGCCCATAGCCTTGGCTGCCTTGTTGGGAATAGCCTTGGCCTGGGGGTGTGGGGTAGGCCCCATAGCTAAAGAAAAGACCCAAAAAGCTGTGAATTCACCCCAAAAATGCAATGGGGTTGAATGGGGTTAAGGGGAAAGGGAAGGACGTACCTTTGTGTGGCGGTTTGGCTGTAGTCTATGGGGAAAAAACGCATAAAAATGGGTTAATAAAGGGGAAAAAAGCACATATTTAACCTAAATGGGGTAAATTTTGCGGTGGAAAAGGGGTTTTTTGCTTTAAAAACAAAAAAAAAGGGGAAATTGGGGAAAAAGGGACTGGTTTTGGGTGTAAAATGAGGGGTTTTGGGCAAAAAAGGGCTGGCTGGGGGTTAGAGGGGTGGGTTTGGGGCATAAAGGGGTGGGTTTAGGGCAAAAAGAAGGGATTTTGGGGTGAAAAGTGGGCATTTAAAGCACAAAGGGATGGATTTAAGGCAAAAAGGGGGAGGTTAAGGCAAAAAAGGGGTGATTTTGGGGTGAAAAGTGGTTATTTAAGGCACAAAGGGTGGATTTGGGGCAAAAACAGTGATTTGGGGGTGAAAAGTGGTCGTTTAAGGCATAAAGGGTGGATTTAGGGCAAAAAAGGGGTGATTTGGGGGTGAAAAGTGGTCATTTAGGGCATAAAGGGGTGGATTTAAGGCAAAAAAGGGGGGATTTTGGGGTGAAAAGTGGTTATTTAAGGCAAAAAAGGTGGATTTGGGGTAAAAAGGGGGATTTTGGGGTAAAAAGTGTTCATTTAGGGCACAAAGGGGTGGATTTGGGGTAAAAAGGGAGGGATTTTGGGGTGAAAAGTGGTCATTTAGGGCACAAAGTGTGGATTCGGGGTAAAAAGGGAGTGATTTTGGGGTGAAAACTGGTCATTTAGGGCATAAAGTGGTGGATTTAGGGCAAAAAGAGGGGATTTGGGGTTAAAAGTGGTCATTTAGGGCAAAGAGGGAATGAATTTGGGTGCAAAAAGACTGATTTTAGGGTAAAAAGTGGCCATTTAGGGCACCAAGGGACTGATTTTGGGCACAAAGAACCGGATTTAGGGCAAAAAGTGAGCGGTGAGGGCATAAAGTGCCTCTTCTAGGGCACAGAAAAGTGGATTTAGGGCAAAAAGTGACCAATTTGGGCACAAAGGGACTCATTTTGGGCACAAAAGGACTGATTTTTGGCACAAAATAGCGGATTTAGGCCAAAAAATGACCAATTTTGGGCACAAAACGCTGCCTTTTGGGGTACAAAGTGATTTTGGGCACAAAATGCTGAGTTCTGGAGCAAAAAAAAGTCCACTTAGGTAACAAAGGGACTCATTTTGGGCACAAAGTAGGGGATTTAGGGCAAAAAGTGGCCATTTAAGGCACAAAATGACTGATTTGGGACAAAAAATAGGAAATCTAGGGCAAAAAGTGACCAATTTGGGCACAAAGAAAGTCATTTTAGGCATAAAATAGCAGATTTAGGGCACAAAAGGATTTTGGGCACAAAGGGACCGATTTTGGGCACAAAGGCGCGGATTTAGGGCAAAAAGTGACCAATTCTGGGCACAAAAAAAGCCGATTTCGGGCAAAAAGTGACCGATTTTGGGCGCGAAGCGGCCATTTTGGCCACAAAGGGACCGATTTGGGGCACAAAATAGGAGATTTAGGGCAAAAAGCGACCAATTTAGGGCAAAAAAGCGGCCAAGTGGCCGTTCGGGGCATAAAATGGTGCCTTTAGGGCACAAAGGGACTGGTTTAGGCCTTAAGTGGCTGGTTGGCGCCCTAAATGCTGCCTTGAGGCCACAAAGCGGCTCCGCGCTTACAAAGCGCCTCATGTGGGGCACAAAGCATCCAAATTAAGCCACAAACCGCCCAATTTCGGGCACAAATCGACCGATTTAGAACATTTTACCACAAAAAACCCCAATTTGCCTCTTTTTAACACATTTCCCCCCACAGACACGGCCCTGAGAGCGCTTTCCCTCCCGGACCCGCCCCGAAAGAGCGGTCTGCGCGCCCCGCACCCCCTTTCCAACGCTCCCCAGCCGCTTTTCCCCCCCTCACCTCATTATTTACGTCAAAAAACGCCTTTTTTAACCGAAAACGAGCTTTTTAAACCCAAAAACGAGGTTTAAATGGGGCCGATTGAAGCGTGGAGAGACCCGGATGTGGCACTGCGGCAGCGCCGCCGCGCATGCGCAGCCCCCCCCTCCCGCCCGCCCGCCGCGCACAAAATGGCGGCGGTGGCGCAGGAGGAAAAGGCGGCACAAAATGGCGGCGGGCGGCGTGAGGTAAAACCGCGCCCGAGCCCGTTATAAACGCTATAAAACGCCCCAAAACCCAATAAAACCCCCCAAAACCCCCTTAAAATGAGACGCTTTGGGGTTAAACGAAGCAATTTGGGGTGTTTTATCGCGGCGATGGGCGGCGCGGGGGGTGAGGCTTTGTCTGCTGGGTTCCACCCACCCCCCCCCCATTCCCTTCCTTTCATCCGCTATAAAGCGTTTTATCGCGATAAAATGAATCAAACTGAGGGAAATCGAGCGCGATAAACGGTGATTAACGACTCACGCTCCCCGTTTCATTTACGGGTTAATGAATGAAAGGGGAAAAACGCCCCTTTCCCCCTAAAAAAACACAATAACCCCGATTAAACCCATCCGAACGCCCCAACCACCCCTAAGCGCACCCGTTCGGGCGCAAAACGCCCCGAAAAGGGCCCGAAAACGCTAAAAACGCCCCAGAAACGCTTCAAACGCCCCCAAACCGCTAAAAACGCTCCCGAACCGCTAAAACCGACCCGAAAACCGCTAAAAACGGGACCCAAACGCTAAAAACGGCCCCAAAACGGCTAAAACCGAGCCCAGAACGGTAAAAACGCCCCAAAAACGCTAAAACCTCCCCCCGTTCCGGTACCGTTGGACGCCATAGCGGCGGCTGCGCTCCCCCTCCACGTGGCGCCCGCACTGAAGCCCCGCGGCCACGCCCCCAACGCCTTTTATAGGCTCGGCCTGGAGCGGACCAATGGGGTGGGAGGAGGCGGGGCCATGCCCCCGCCGCTCCCACGTGGGTGGGGGGCCTGCGGGTGGCGGCGTCCGCGGGAAAGGGGCGGGGCTTGAGGAAGGGGCGGGGCTTGACGGGGAGCGGGAGCCCATTGGGGGATATAGGGGTCTATAGGCAGCCCATAGGCCCCTATAGACCCCCATAGTCCCCATAGACCCCCATAGACCCATATAGACCCCCATAGACCCCTATAGACCCCCATAATCCCCATAGACCCACATAGACCCCTATAGACTCCCATAGACACCCTTAAACCCCCATAAGCACCCTATAGACCCCTATAGACCCACTATAGACCCCCCATAGACCCCCATAGACCCCCATAGACACCCTTAAATTCCCATAAGCACCCTATAGACCCCTATAGATCCCCTACAACACCCATAGAGACCCATAGAGACCCCATAGAGATGCGATAGAGACCCATAGGGACCCCATAGAGACCCATAGAGACCCCATAGAGATGCGATAGAGACCCATAGAGACCCCATAGAGACCCCATAGAAACAATGGAGTCAATGGGAACCCCCATAGGGGACAATGGGGAAGCCAGGAGGCCCCAATAAAGCCACTCCTCTCACACCATTGGCTGCAGCTTTAATGAGGGCGGGGCCCTGAGGGACCAATCAGGAAGCAGGAGGGGGGGGGGGGGGGTCCATGGGGTTGGTTCTCCATGTCCGTGGCATGGCCAATGGCATCCAATGGGATGCTCTCCATGGCCATATGGACCAATAGGGATGCTCTCCATGGCCAAATGGACCAATAGGGATGCTCTTCATGGCCAAATGGACCAATAGGGATGCTCTTCATGGCCATATGGACAAATAGGGATGCTCTTCATGGCCAAATGGACCAATAGGGATGCTCTTCATGGCCATATGGACCAATAGGGATCAACGTCCTCCATAGGGATGCTCTCCGTGTCCATAGGGACCAATAGGGCCCAATGTGCCCCATAGGGATGCTCTCCATCGATGTGCTCCATAGGGATGCTCTCCATGTCCATAGGGTCCAATGTGCCCCATAGGGATGCTCTCTGTGTCCATAGATACCAATAGGGATCAATGGCCCCATAGGGATGCTCTCCATATCCATATGGACCATAGGCACCAATACCACCCTATAGACACCAATACCCCCCTATAGACCCCAATACCCCCATAGGGCCCAATTCCTCCCATAGACACCCATACCGCCCTATAGACCCCAATACCGCCCCATAGACACCAACACCACCCTATAGACACCAATACCACCCCATAGATACCAATACCCCCCATAGACACCAATACCCCCATAGGGCCCAATACCCCCTATAGACCCCAATACCGCCCCATAGACACCAACACCACCCTATAGACACCAATACCACCCCATAGATACCAATACCACCCCATAGACACCAATACCCCCATGACACCAATACCCCCATAGACCCAATACTGCCCATAGACCCCAAGCCCACCCTTGCTCCTCCGGGCCCCTAGGGGGCGCTCTGCTCTCAGATGCGGAAGCTCTCGGCCTATAGATACCAATGCAACCCTATAGACACCATTACCCCCCATAGACCCCAATACCCCCCATAGACCCCAATACCGCCCCATAGACCCCAATACTGCCCCATAGACCCCAATACCCCCCATAGACCCCAAGCCCACCCTTGCTCCTCCGGGCCCCTGGGGGCGCTATGCTCTCAGATGCGGAAGCTCTCGGCCTATAGATACCAATGCAACCCTATAGACACCAGTACCCCCCATAGACCCAATCCCACCCATAGACCCCAATCCCACCCCATAGACCCCAATACCCCCCATAGACCCCAATACCCCCCATAGCCCCAAGCCCACCCTTGCTCCTCCGGGCCCCTAGGGGGCGCTCTGCTCTCAGATGCGGAAGCTCTCGGCCTATAGATACCAATGCAACCCTATAGACCCCAATACCGCCCTATAGACCCCAATACCCCCCATAGACCCCAAGCCCACCCTTGCTCCTCCGGGCCCCTAGGGGGCGCTCTGCTCTAGATGCGGAAGCTCTCGGCCTATAGATACCAATGCAACCCTATAGTCACCATTACCCCCATAGACCCCAATACCACCCATAGACCCCAATACCCCCCATAGACCCCAATACTG